GGCGGCGCACAAACCCAAGGAGGGGAAGGGAAACACAAAAACTACAACAAAAAATACAGGGCATTTAAAACAACCAACAGCCATACAGATTCGAGAGGGGAAGGGAACTCATCGACCCCAGGCCTGCCGACACAGCCAGGCTTTAACGGCTTTTCAGAAGGACTGGAGAGAGGTGAAGGTCCGAATCTCTGCGGGGAGCTCGTTCCAAAGGGCCGGAGCCACCATTAGCAATGTCTGACTAAATATATGCTTCTTTTAGTAGATAATATCTATCAAGCATGGCAAAAAAGGAGTGGAAAAATGAAACCCAACAGAATAACTGTGGCTCAGCCCAATTTGCTTCATAGCTTGGTGAAAAAACATCCATTGGTGCAGACAAGATTTTAAAAAGTGCCTCTAGACTTAAAAACATTACATGTGGGAATGTAGATTTTTATTGTATTATATTTGTTTGGATAGACAAACATTGACGCTCTTTTAGTTTGTTGAGCTTGATGATTCATCTTGAAATTAAAAAAGCTTTTAAAGCATATGACTAGTTTCTCTAAGAGATTTACCGAGCCCAAGACAACATAAAAACCATAACTAACATTCCTTCTGGCATTTTGAATTATGTCTGATTAGGGAACTGATGAATTTGGCTGTAAGGTTGACCGACCACATTTTCTTGAGTTGAGAATCAGATTCAATTGCTGGCACTTTTATTTTTAAAAGTGAAGAAGCTATTATTGGCTTATTACTCCTGAGTAATGGAGCTGCTTTGCCTGGAATACATGCTGTGCATTAAATCTACTGAAATCTCAATTTTCCCCCTACAGTATACAAAGCACTATACACAGATTGGTGCCCTCTACTTTTTGGGTTTAATTTTTTTTTAAACTAACTGTACCACTATTTCTGAAATCTCATACAATGTAAGATTTTTGACTTAGTGTTAAATTTTGGACTGTGCTCTAAAATTGCCTGGGCAGCAGAATAGGCCAAAGTTCATATATCGTTCTGTTGTGGAAAGCAACTTTTAGAGCTGTCTTCACAGCTGACCAGTCTAAATGCAAGCTAGTTGGAGTAGGTTTCCAACAGTATCTGACATGGACTTTGTCACATATTGAATCAAATCCTCCAATCCTTCTCTGCCACAGGGAAGAAGGATTTCAGAGACTGCAAGCAAATCTCTGGGAGAACAGAGGCAAGGAGTAACTGCTGACCAAGGAAGGAAGAATTGGGTTTTAAGAAGTAAAGGGGAAGCAGAGGCAATGCTTGTTTCAGGAGTCTTATTTATTTCTATAGAAATAGGTCAGGGTTTAGATAAGAATTTGCTATTAGCATTTTGATTTGATATGAGTATGCTAGCTAAATCTTTATTGTAAACCTGTGTTTATGTCTCTAAATAAAACGATTGATGTATAATTCCCACAGTTGTCATATATTTTGGATTGTGTTCAAGAATCTAGCTTTACAGGCTTTAAATGATCACCATGTAAATTTGCAGCTAGATGGATAGAAGAGAATATTTGTAGCTCAGAATTGAACTGTGGGATCCTTGGGGCTCTCTGAGAGTTGTTTTCTTGCAGATGTTTCATTACCAAACACTGCCTGATGATGTTACCTAGTTTGGTAATGAAATGTCTGCAAGAAAATAAGCAAACTCAGTACTCAGGATCCTGCAGAACAGTGAAGTGCTCAGCTCTCACAGATAGTCTGATGGGAGTCTTGTTTCCCCTGAAATTTGGCAGCTCTGTAAGTTATCCCCCACCCCCAAACTGTTAATATTTAACATTTGAAAGGGCTACTTCATTGGAGTTTTCGCTTTCTTTTTTAAAAATAAAGTTTAATTTTTGTCTATACTCCATGAGATTGGTCTATCTCCAAAGATAGAAGGGTACTTGGGTGTCAAATACCCAGGAGATTATGTAATAGCAATTATACTTCAAAAAAAAAAAGCCTTTTACCTAGTAATTGTCACAAAGTCACACAAGATATAGAAGCACTGTATTTCTCATATGCCAAGGTTAAGGGGAAAAATAACAAGTGAGGCACTCTCTAGAAAATAGTTTGCGGCAGTGAGACTAATCCAAGGACAGGAAGCCAGGTCTGGGAGTGAAAAATCAAAGGGCTTTTAGGAGGGGAGGTTCAGTCTAAATGTTCTTTTGAGTTGTCACAAGATAGTTATTTGGTTTTAGATTAGCTTGTTGTATGATAGAGGGACATGGTGACTAAGACGCTAACTTGTCGATCAGAAAGNTATATATGTGACTGTACGAAATGAAAATGGAAAATAAAACACATTTACACGAGAAAAAAGGCTTGCATTTTTTGAATGTACAAGGAGATGGTCCAGGAAAGTGTTCAAATAAATTATTTGTATTAGAAAGTCTGTTAAATTACGTAACAGTCTATGAATAATTACTATCTATATGCAGTCATCTTTGGCTACTCTCCTACATTTAATTTCACCAATCATCTCCTTTTACTATTTTTTTCCTCTGCTCCAACGAATCTGACACAGCAGTGCATGTATTATCTTGCAAGGATAATGCTACACACATTCAAATGAAGTGACTCAAATGTAGCCAATGTAATGTTAATATTTATTTTAATAATTTAACGTTTTGTCTTACTTAGCTGTAAGCCGCATAGAGTTGCTTCTTGATGAGATGGACAGATACATATTTAACAAATATAAATTTGTATTCCAAGAAAACTTATGCTAAACCACTGTTACTTTACCAAATGCCAGAAGACTTTGTTTTGTTTTCACTGTTTAGTCATTTAACTTGTTTAGTTTAATTGTGTTAAATTTAGGGACAAAGATCTGCTTGGGCTTCTTTTTTTTGAATATGCACAGTAGGTAAGTAATGAGTTCAGGAACACCAAATTTTGGAACAATAGCAAGGCAAGTGTGTAATGTTTTACCACACTTGAATGTGCTGAGGCCACATAGTTGAGAGTGACTTGGGACTTCACAGTTTCTAGAAATCTACCTGTTCCAAAGTGCATTGCTGAATTATGCAAAGTCAAAATGTGAGCCTCACTTTCCTTTGCATTTGCACTCAGACTGGAACTCAAGAAAATTAAGAGTTAACAACATCTGAAATGGCCATCTTATCCCTCCTAGCAGAAACTGCTGTTTTGATTAATACCCCAAATATAGTTGATTGGCTTACAGAACTGCGGGCACCTCAG